TATATATACTAACCCCGTAGATCTCCTCTTGTTTCTCCTCATATGTGTACAGTATATTGTTCTACGAGAATAAGTATAATAAAGTATATATTCTTCTAACAATAGTACTTGATCAACTTGTATATCAATGTACTTCTTCAATTCTGATCTGTGTAAAGCTGACTGCAAAGTATAACCACCCTGTGCCATTGCATGGCTGCATTTTGTTATTGTGGTCAAAAGAGTGTTTGTAAGCTTGTGGATTTTTACTAAAAAACTAAATTACATATTTAGTTTCTGAAGCTAATGACTGTCATTTACAGAAAACACATCTAGGTATGGACAGCGTCACCATATTTCTATTATGGTTTCCATTTTGTTGGTGTATTCTTATATTTTTTATTCTTAACTTCTGACAGTGTATTTTTTCTGTTTGTCTGATCAAGTTTTGTATGTGTGACAGTAATGGGTGTAAAGCTTAAAAACATTGTATCTATCATTGGCAGAATATGGGAAATGTTCAGCCAGTGTATAAATACCAGTTGGGCCCAGGTCAACATTACTGCTATGAATAGATGAAGCACTAATTAAGAACGCATTTGTTTATGTTGAATAAATCCGCTACAACTTCTCACTGTGGTGTAAACCAGATTCAGGTTAGGTTGAGTTTAAAAAGGTTAAAGTAACACTAAACTCAGGAGTTAAATCTTAAAAATGCGTTCAAGTGCCCTAACTATTAGCAGAAATGTATCTTATTCGTGTATCACTCGGCTGTAGATCCTCAAATCATCTCTGAATTGATGCTGATGGACTACAATCTCAATACATATTAATACACTAATTGTGAGATTGTAGCTGTGGCTACTTTACAACACACAGGGACTATGGGGAACAAAAGTAGCCCCCCTCCAGAAGGAAGGACAGTGTCTGCACCAATTCAGAGATGATTTGGGGATCTACAGCTGAGTGATACACAAATAAGATAAATTTTTTGGTAATATGGTATTTGAATGCATTTTTAAGATTTAAAGTGACACAAAACTTGAGTTAAATCTTAAAAACACATTCAAGTACCTTAACTATTTACGAAAAAGTAGTTTATTTGTGTATCACTCGGCTGTAGACCCTCAAATCATCTCTGAATTGGTGCTGACACTGTCCTTCCTTCTGCAGGGTGGCTACTTTTGTTCTCCATGGTCCCTGTGTGTGTTTGTAATGTAGCCACCGCTCCAAGCTCGCCCCCCGTGATGGACTTCATCTCATGTTTAGTTTACTAATTTCTATTGAGATTGTAGTCCAGAGTCCATATTGAGATTGTAGAGAGGTGGGTATGAACCACCATCAAGAAGGAAGCATACACAAATAAGCTACATTTTGTCAATAGTTAAGGAACTTGAATGCATTTTTAAGATTTAACTCCTGAGTTTAGAGTTACTTCAAGGCCTCCTTGGTATGTACTGTTATGTTCTTTACAAATATATATATATTTAGTTATATTAGAAAAAAAAAATTCACTTAAAAAATAGAACAGCAATTACATACCTGCCTTGTTTGGTGATGATCATCTCTGTGTGATGCTTGTGAAATTTACTCCACAGATGGTGATTAGCTAGGGTCACCTGTTTCTTCTCTGAACTCTGGCTCCCTGGGCAAGGGGTACAAGTGAGGGACTGGGTTAGGGTTATGGGGTAAGAGAGATGGCCATCACATTGGGGGTAACTTTCAGTTTCTTCCATCTCGGATTTACAGTCCTGTCTGTAGGGGCAGCTGGTGGTGGATAGGTGACGGGCTTCATGGAGATAGGTATAATTAGCAGGTAAGCTTTCATTTCTAGAGTCAAGATGATCAAATTTATGTTGCAGTGCAGTGGAAAGGCTCTGCTCACGTGCTCCACTCTGCAGTTCTTCAGTTCTCTGCATAAGTTTTCCACTTTGAATCCCCATCATACTTTTCTTACTCAGTGTACTTTGCGCATCTGTTTCGCTCTGCAACCGCGTTCCGCTGCTTATCTCCTCTGCGCTCTGCATATCCACCATGCTCTGCAGTTCCGTCTTGCTCTGAATTCCTGTTGTGCTCTGCAGTCCTGTGCTCTGCATTTTCACCATGCCTGGTGTCCTCTGTTGTTCGTCTGTGCCCTGCATGTGCTGTTCTTCTGGTAAGCTGTGCATTCGAGTTCTTCTGTGCATTCTGATGCGTAATGCTCCGCTGCACCCATGGAAGTGTCTCAGAGTTACCCCTCCGGTGTCGCTGTGACACCAGGTGGATGTCACGCAAGGGTCACGTGTGAGTATGTCTTGTGGCAGCCCTTCCTCCACCTATGCACTTGTCATGATCTCCCCATCACTTTGGCATGTGTCACTCATTGCCTGACACAAGTTCAACTTTTAGTTGCTCCTTTGTTTCCTGAAAGAGCTCAGTCCTTAATTTTTCTCTGCCCCCCCTGATCTTGTCATCCTGTTCTAGCTCCTTACCGTAACCTTGTCACCTTATTTCTCTGTGTATCCATTACACTTATAACTATAGATCTTACGCAGGTGTCACTTGTCACTATCTTTTTATGTTACTCACTGCTCTGCTTTCCGTGAGTCTGTCACTCTGCCACCTCAAGCCTTTTATCACAGAAAAATCAACTGTTCCCTGATTGGTTAAGGTCACCCCTAATACTGCCTACAGTGTGATCTGAGAAGTGGCTGAGCCTTAAAGTCACTTCGTCACATACGCTGGGTGCCACCTGCAAAAAAGCACAGTCACATATTCAGCTTTGTATCTCTCGAATCCTTCTACAGCTTATAGCAGGCATGTAAAAAAGAAAAAAGACAGACATACGAGTACACATGCCAACGGCGATTTAAGAGCATTACAAACCTATAGCATACGAACAGTGGCAGGGCACCCCCTGTCAGTCAGCATGCTACGGACAGCAGCAATGTGCAGATACAAAATGTCATTCGTGTTTATATCCCTGAGCATGTGTTTCTGTTGGAAGGCATTTTGTGCTTTGAGCATATTTATTTTGAAGTGTGTGTGTTTGTGGTGTAGTCTGCAACATGTGCAGGAAGTAACTGCTCAGGTTACCGGCAGCTCCAGAGTCAGTTCTCTACTTAAATCTAAACATTAACTGTAACATTTATACATATATTTAATTGCTGATGTCTTGTGATGTCTGTCACCTTTGATTAATAGACAACAGTAAGATTTGGATTAGTAGACTGTCTTCTGTCTGTCTGTCCTATCTAATCTGTTTATCTCTTGTGGCTGATTTTAAGAGTTGGGGGCGTATTTCTAAAAATTGGTCAATATTAGAAATAATTGCTTTTTGGTTCACAACACTACACCAGTATTTTTTTTGCTATTTATTATATAAGTTTTAATACATGTTATTATTTCTGGACATTTTTACAATTTGAACCTTAATGCTTGTGGCACAATCAAAGCCCCCTAAAAAAACCCAAAAAAACTGAGGTCACCCTAGGTGAAGTTTAAGATTCCTCCTGTACTATTATAAGAGCAGTGACAAGAGTTTATTTTTTGTTATTTTTACATAAGTATAAACAATTCCAGTTTGGCATGCCAAGCTTAAGGGCCTGTTCACACCATCTCCAGACCGTATCTGGCTGCATTTCTTCAAATGCGGTCAAGTGCGTCTTTGATGGAATTTTGATGCGTTCCTGTGTGTTGTTTTTTTTACTCTCAATTGACTTTCTAGCAGTGACTTGCCATGCCTTCTGTGCTGGGTGAGGCACCCCATGTCCCTCTGAAGCCCCGCCCCTTCTTGCAGAAGCTCCTTTCCACCCCACTGAAGCCCCGCCCCCAGCTCGGTAACCAAGCTGTGTGGGGAGGAGGAAGGGAGGAGACAGGGAGGAGCCTCCCTATCCCTCACTTGCTCGAGATCGATGTTCTCACTGCTTTGTTTTTTTCCTTTTTTTGATTGGACAGCTTGGACCAATGAAGCTTTGCCATTGGTCCAAGCCATCCACAGAGCTCACGCCTCTAACACAGAGTAGAGGCTGTGACAGCTCTTGCCTCACCAAGTTAGGTTACACAAGCAGCGGGAAAGCAGCACTCCGTGCATGACAGGTTACACTGCAGGGAGGCTTTCCCTGCTGTGTAACCTGTAACATGCCACGCTGAATAGAGAAAAAGCTGTCAGCTTCAGACTTGAAGCTGACACCTTTTTTTTTCATAATACTAAATTAAGCTCTTCCTCCCCTGACCGCACGTCCCTGCTTTCTAGTGCGTTCTGGTACGTTTACATGTGTTTTGGTGCATTCAAGACCAGAGAAAATAGTGCATGCAGTACTTTTTTTTAAACATTCTAGAACTGAACACTTAGTATGAACAAGCCTCCCTTTTACCATAGGAATGAATGGGGATGCGTTTCTGGACCAGACAAGAAACGTTCTGGTCTGGATCTGGTCCGGATATGGTGTGAATGGGCCCTATAGCCTGTTTCCAGTTTAAAAAAAAAAAATCTACTGCTGCCTCCAAGACAGGTGGCTGGT